TAAGATCCACGGTCTTCCCTCTGACGTCGTATCTGATAGGGGTCCCCAATTCTCTTCCTTGTTTTGGAAGGAATTTTGCCGTCTTATTGGTGCGTCGGCCAGTCTTTCCTCCGGATTTCACCCACAAACTAACGGTCAAGCGGAACGTGCCAACCAGACCATCGGTCGCATCCTTCGTAGCCTCGCCTTTCGCAATCCGGTTTCGTGGTCCGAACAGCTTTCCTGGGCAGAGTACGCTCTCAATTCCGCTCCATCCTCTGCCACGGGTTTATCTCCGTTTCAATGCTGTCTCGGATACCAGCCTCCACTCTTTTCGTCTCAGGAGACTGAATCTCAGGTGCCGTCCGTTCAAGCCTTCATTCAACGTGCTAAGCGTACTTGGAGAGAGGTTAGGTCCGCTTTAGTTAAGTCTCGTTCTCGTACCCGGCGAGCCGCTAACAGACGTCGGGTCAAGAGTCCCCGTTATTCTGTGGGTCAGAGAGTTTGGTTATCCACCCTTAATCTGCCTCTCCAGTCCACGTCTCGCAAGCTGGCCCCCAAATTCATCGGGCCTTTCCGTATCCTTAAGATACTCAGCCCTGTCTCTGTCCGTCTCAAATTGTCTACTAATCTTCGGCGCGTCCACCCGGTCTTTCACGTGTCATGTATTAAACCCGTCATCCGTGCCCCCCCTCGGCCTGTCACTCCTCCTGTCCGCGTCGAGGGCGCTCCCGTCTATAGGGTTCGCAGACTTCTCGATGTTCGCCCCCGGGGTCGTGGTCATCAATTTCTGGTCGATTGGGAGGGATACGGTCCGGAGGAGAGATGTTGGATTCCATCCCGGGACGTCCTGGACCGCTCGCTGATTGATGACTTCTATCGCTCACGCCAGTCCTCCTCTGTTGCGCCAGGAGGCGCTCCTTGAGGGGAGGGTACTGTCATGATCCTGGCTCTTTCTTTCTTTCTCTGGTCTTTCTCTGCCCCCTTCTGGCCACTATCTTACATTACATTACTTGCATCACTCATTCATTATCCCGGTCACCTCCAGCTGTGGCTCATCCTCTCATTACCTCCTCGTTACCTTCCCAACTGTTTCTCACTATCTCTGATTAGACTCTCTATTTCATGGCTTCTCTCTTATTGTTCTTTGTCAGATTATTGCTCTATGTTACGTACCTGTGCATATCGCTCCTGACCCTGTCGTGTCGTGTCCTGTCTGATCCAAGCTGTTCCGTTCTCTGTATTACCTCGACTCTACTCTGCTACCCTTCCAGCATCGTGAGTGGTTCAGGATTGGCGTTCCCGTGCCTCTACGGACCCAGTCTGTCTCGTCCTCTGAGTGACCGTCCGTGCTGATCCAGACGGCAGTTTTCTGTTCTGTTATTAAGAGACTTTCTGTTCCATTACCATTGAGATTCCTGTGTTGGATTTACTCGCCTTACGGCTCCTGTGTTACTCTTCTGAACATTAAATCACTCATTGACTGTCCTTTGCTTTTGGGTCCTCTTTCTCTTACGTGACAGAGATCAATATATCAAAGAAAATACAGAAATGATCAGACAGTGCTGCATCCTTAATAACAATCGATGAGATGTTTAAACCCGTACTGATAAGTAAATCTAGAGTGTGTCCACGATTGTGTGTGGGACCATGTACATGTTGTGTCAGATCAAAAGTTTTTAAAACAGTTTTGATTTCTTTTGCCATATTGTTTTCTGCATTATCTATGTGAATGTTAAAATCTCCAGCAAATGGCAAAACAGTCAAACTCAGAGGCAATTGTTGATAACAGTTCTGTAAAGTCCTCAGCAAAGGCTGGAGAGTATTTTGGAGGCCTGTAAACTATGATAAGTAAAATACGTGGAGCACCTTTTAACACAATACCCAGATATTCAAAAGAGGGGTAATTCCCAAATGATATTTGCTTACATTGATAAACATCTTTAAAAAGAGCAGCTAAGCCCCCACCTCTCTTACTCGCTCTGCAGACGCTCATATAAGTAAAATTTGGAGGGGATGTTTCGTTTAGGACCGTTGCACTACAGCTGTCTTCTAGCCAAGTTTCAGTTAGAAACATGAAGTCCAGGTTGTGTGTGGTTATTAAGTCGCTGACTAGAAGTGATTTATTTTGAAGTGAGCAGATGTTTAAAAGTGCTAACTTTATAGTCTTACTTTTTGTTCCCACAGCAATCTTAGTTTGGCGTGTAATGGACACCAGATTAGATGGGTTTGCAGTGCGACTTTTGAAGGCCTTAGATTTTCTATCATGTATTTGAACCGCTATAGAGAAGGATTCAGGCACACTGGGTTCCCACTTGTTTTGTAAACATTTAAGAAAGTTACTGATATCAAAGCGGATACCCGACTCATACCATTTAGAGTTGGTATCAGTTGTTTTTGATTCTCCTCGAGCAGATGGAGGATGGTGTGAGCACAAAGGGCCAATCCCAATTCTACCCCTTACCCCTTCACTTTCCCCTAGCCCTACCCCTTTGCCTTCCCCTTGACCCTTGAAACAGAGTGGCAATGCGTAGGGGTGAAAATATTCCCCTAAGAAATGGGACACCACTACGCCTCCGTTAAACGTCATTATAAGTCGTCGCTAGTGCCTACGTCACAGGAGATGCGCTGATGTTTATCACAACTTCCAAGATCCCGTCGACAGCTGCAGTTATCTCAGTCGCGTGGGTTACAGCTATTTTCTTGCATTTATCTTGTGAAGTTCGCAGGAAACAACGGAGACGACGAAAATATGTTGCGGGACTATCGTTAGCAAACTACAGTAATTTTAGCGATTTTTTTTTTTTAACAAACGTTTCTGTGAAGCAAATCATTGTTTGTCGTTACAATACTTATTAAAGCCACAAATACTTAAATTTATGGGTATCTTTGTTGCTTGGGCAGCCAGCCTGGGTTAGCAGTGACACTTCTCATACCCCTTCGTTTGAAGTGTGCTCCCGAAAAATCTTCGTTTGAAGGGCTATCTGGCCCTTCCCCCTAGCCCTCCCCCTCCAACCAAAAGAGAATTGGGACAACCCTACCCCTTCACGTGGACGCGCAAAACGGAGGGGAAGGGGAAAGTGAAGGGGTAAGGGGTAGAATTGGGATTGGCCCAAAGAGCGCAGCACAAAGAGCTAGATTACGATCGTCATTTTCAGGAACATAATCAAACATAAATTGTATCCATTGTTGAGGAAGTACAGCGTCTGTGCAGCTCGAACACGAAGACCACACACTCGACGTGCCGCAGAAATATGGTCATGCCCTTTTCTGCATATTCCGGAGGGAGGGTTGATGAAAATGTGTGGGTTAGTGACGTACCATAACCCAGCTGTAGTCCCAATCCAGTCGTTTTTGTAGGCAATTATACTTCCTGATTTTTAAAAGACGATATCTCTGCTTACACTGAACTTTCAGCGCTGCAACTTTGCAGATACTGTTCATGCACCAACAGCAACATTACACACTATTTAAAATCAAAAAAGTGAAATCGCAGTCAACCCTCCCTTTAATGGCTCGTTGTCAAGGTTGTTTCAGATCAACACCTGTAAGAGTGTTGAGACATGGTGTCATGTTGAGACAGGTGCATAGCTGTCAACATTGAACATTGAAAATAAGGGAGATTTCCCGGAATCCATCGCCAAAATAAGGGATTTTTTTTTCTTACATTATTAAGAGCATAAGAAACAAATGAAAAAATATATATATTTTATTCCTATGTTATGCTATGACCTCTGTAGTGGACACCAGGACGGTTATTTAAAAAAAATGACATGAAAATATATAAAGGCAAAAATAATGGACATTTTTGACATACAGACATCGTTTTTTTGTTTTGTTTTGTTTTTTTTGCCTGGAAACGCTTCCAACACACTTGCGTGTCGCGTGAAAAATAGGCATCTCTAGTTCTATTTCTAGCATGCACGCATTTGCGCGTGTCACGCAGGCAGTGGTGCAAGCTCTAATCTTTTAACATGGGAGCCGAAATAAAAACCATAGACAGTAAAAATAAAACGGTCACGCCACGCAGCTGAGACGCACGCAGCCAATGTGTCTCCAACCAGCGCGCGTGGCGCTGCATCTGAGTATGAACGACTTCAAGTCGAATATGTCCGAGCTTGTACATCTCACACAATAAGAGCGTAAAAATACGGGATATTTTACGGGAAAATACTAAAACGGGAAGACAGCGGGAACAGAGATAAAATACGTGAGAAACCCGGAAAAAACGGGAGGGTTGACAGCTATGGACGGGTGTCGGATTGATTTGAAGCCTCGACACATGGCACATTTGGTTCAAGCGTGCGTCAACAGCGCCGCCATATTGCGGAGGGTAACTTTCCCATACCTCTCATTATGGGAATTGAGAAAAATGCCTGTTTCGTGTGCTGCTCGGGCTGTACACATCGCCACACAATTGATAACCAGTCTCGGGGAATTATCTTTCACAAACAAGACTGAACATTTTTTTCTGGTTGTATTTGGTTCTTATATAATTAGTAATAGTAACATACACCACGTACAAACCACTGAAATTGGTTGATAAATGTAAACGTTATTATTGTTTTTATCCAGGAAAACCGCAGCTCACCCGTTTGCCTTTGTTCACAGTGCAGTCTTGCCGTCAGCAAAATGACGGACGGACGTGTTGACGTATTGCAGCAACGTTCCAAAGCGGTCAATAGGGGGTCTATGTATTTATTATATCTATGGTTTGTGACATCAGTGTTTTTGATTCACTTTGGTTCACTGCAGTTTTATGGAGGAAATACTCAGCAATGCTGTCCACTTATCAACTTACACATGGTGTGTGTTAAAGCGGATTAAAAACACCACATACACACACAGACAACATTAAACACTGGATTTTCACCAAAGGCGGACTAAGTTGGTAAAAGACTGTACTGTTGCTAAGAGCCCAATAATAACTGTACATCTTTATGTCTGTGTGTGATTGTCTGATTATTTGATTCTCTCTGTATTTTGATTTAAAAGGTCACTCTGTTTCTCTCTCAACACAGGTTGAGATCTTGTGATATCAGTGATGGAGGTTGTGCTGGTCTGAGTTCAGCTCTGAGATCAAACCTGTCTCTGAGAGAGCTGGACCTGAGTGGGAATAACATCACAGAATCAGGAGTGAAGCAGTTTTCAGATCTACTAAAAGATCCTCAGTGTAAACTGGAGAAACTGTGGTGAGTGTCATTATTCTGCTTCAGTGTGTTTGTTTTAAGAAACACTTAAAGGAATGTCAAGACCATATTTATTTTATATGGACAAAAAGTGATGACACCCAGATTTCTCTTCAGCAGAAAGATTTGGACTCGCATTATTGTAGCAAACACATCTGCTTTCCATTTCTTAGATAAATGATCATAATTGAGTATGTATTAGGGATGCACCGATCCACATTTTTTCACTTCCGATCCGATCCCGATACCCAACTTTGGATATCGGCCGATACCGATACTTTTCCGATACCAGAGCTGTGTTTGCTTTAATATTATTTATCATTATTGTTGATTTTATATGATGTTGAAATAAACTCCCCTCTACAGGCTAGGATGATATGTACGTATGTATGTCAGTATATATATTAAACAATAGATAGACAATTAAACAAAGATACACATTATACAGGCCTACACAGTGCTTTAATTTCAGGAAGGTCTACTAACATTATTCAGGTATGGTCTAAAAAGAATTATAATAAAGTAATCAAAAGTAAAATAGCACTGCAAAGCTTACCATAGATAGATTTATGCTTATTAGAGCTGAAGTAATTCATTCAAGAGCTGTGAGTGATTTTCTCTTTGCCTTTTGTTGTTTGACTCTCAGTAATGTCGCAATCGTCACATTATACTGCTGCCCCTTTAAGAACGAGTTCAGATTTCATATCTACTGATGCACCATATTTTCTCCCAACTACTTCCATAACTACGTTCATTTTAGACATAAACGGTTTAAGTGTTAATCTCCAAGCCGGTCGGTTTGACATTTTTCTTGTGCAGGCTACATTTGATCGTTTAGACGCGCATATGAAGCCCAGATTATAATTTGCTTGTCTTGTTGCAGTCTGTTTCGGAGCGCGCGCGCATTGGGAACAGCATTTCTTGCGCAAATTTTGTGCTTTTAATAGCTCTCTTTATTATTAAAAGTGTCCCGCAATTTAGCAACAGCAGAGCCTGCATTTTACAACAATCACAGATCGTGCTGATTCTGTCTTTAAGTTTTAGTATTAAGGAGAAATGACAGCACACCGCCGCGATGGGAAGAAAGTTGGCTAGACAGAATGCGGCTATTGTTTTTAATGGTTTTTTTACCTCAATATATTCTTTAATCTTTGGAAATCAGACTAATATCATAGATATAACCAGGCTACGTTTCCTCTGTCGTCACTCATTAAGCAGGGCTGTCGTGTTGTGCGTGCTGTGGGACTGCGTGAGAGATCTCTCTCTTTCTCTTCTGGACTGCGAATTGCAAAAATGCATCACAGACAAATAGTTTAATTAATACGGCTTTGCAAACATTGCATTTTGCGGTCTTGCTCTGCTGCGGTGTTTCCAGTGTGAAGTATTTCCACACAGCGAACATGTTGGTAGCTCAATCCTATCCTGCTAGCTGGCTGCAAACTGCGGAATGGATTTCCTGAGCGGGGGTCTGTGTGTCTCATTGAGCCCTATTTTTTACAGTCTATGATTGAGCTGCACCTCCGTTCAGAATATCCATTCCACAGTTTGCAGCCAGCTAGCAGATTAGCAGGCCCGGGGAATCCCTTTTGCAGTCATTTCAGCAGACAACGTTAAAGCGCAGACATGGATCATAAATATCGGATTTCTCCGCAGGTTGGATCGGAAAAATCCGATACGTGAATTACGCTGGTATCGGTCCCGATACCGATACTGGATCGGATCGGCCCCATCCCTAGTATGTATATATATATATATATATATATATATATATATACACAAACAATTTATCTGGCTTATTTTTACCAGCAGTGCTTGTGTTCTATTCATTTGATACTCAATTCATTGTTATTTGATTGATGATGTAATGATAATTTGTTGTTTGTTGTTTCACAGGCTGAAGTGCTCAAACAAGTATGGAAACTTTGATTTCCTGAGGTCACACAAGTCAAGAGAAAATCGAGTGTGAGAGAGTGACAGAGAACTTGAGATATTTTTTGAAAGGCTTGACATAAAACTGACTTCATTATATCAGGAGTGCAGTTTCGGTGATCAGATGTTCTACATTGCAGTTAATCACATGCTGTGTCATCCATCATGGCTTTCTTCGGTGATTATTTTAGTTTTTGCATATTAATTGAATCAATAATATTGTCAAGGACCATTGTTTATGGTGCTGGCACTGAGTGTTAATCTGAATGGAGGCAGAGTTTAGGGGTATATTCTTAATTTCACTTAAATTTGGATTTGTTTCGCCCATATAGCTAATGAATGGCTTCAGAAGGCTTATAATACATGAAGTGCTTTAAAATCATTTTTGGATCTTGGCAGTTGGTTGGCTCACTGGGGCTTGTAGGTCTCTCACAACATCTTTTCATGGCCCATTTAAAATATTGGGATAAATGAAGAAAGTCAGGTAAAGTTACAATATGCAGGATTGATTCACCACTAGGCGTCGCTAACCTCTTACAATAACAAAGGCGTATATTGATGACGTATATTCCGCATTAAGCAGAATTATGGATCTTGTCATCAAGGTGATGGATCTTTTATGGATGAGTGAATACATTGATGTTTTTAACATGACTGTAGTTGGAAGCAGAACGCGATTGCTAGACGTATACCAGCGCCACACGCAACGCGAGTCCCGCAGATATAAAGGAATAAGGAGTAACACTTTATTTTACGACCTGCAAACAACTGTGTAAGTACACTGAAATTACGGTGTACGTTTCTGTAATTATAGTGTACTTCCGTGTAAGTACTTTGTATAAGGGAACAATATGTTAAGTTTGGGGTAATAAAGGGGTAACAAGCAGATGCAAATTATTTAATTAGTTAAAAAATAACAGGTACCTATTCTGTTAATATATTCCAGGCAAAAATTGTACGTCTGTTGTTTATAAAATGTATCACATTTCTGGCAAAATATGTTCTTGTGCAATGTTACAGGGTAATGTTACAGGTAAATCTGTTGGTTAAAAATTAAACACACACACACACACACACACATATATATATATATATATATATATATATATATACATATTGGATAACATTACCTTTCTGTGCAAATAGTGTTGTTTCGTTTTGCTACATAGTAAGTAGCGTTTGTTACCCCCTTGTTCTGTGTAGTTACAGGGTAAGTGTAACGCTGCCTTCACACTGGCAGTTGAAATCAGCTCCGTAATACGCAATACGTTCCCAACGGACGTCGTACTACACAGTGAAAAGCGTCGGACGCGGGTAGACCAAAAATGGCGGAGAGATTAAAGTTTGATTCTGTCAGTTCTGTATGATCTCTCTGATTAGGGTTATGCTGCGTGAGGAAAGTTGCTCAGGACGTTGACATGTCAGGTCGGCTAAAAAATGTGATATAGTGGTCAATAGTTCAATGTCTACCTTCAATTTAATTGTATTAACTGCCCTTATAAACGTTAGAAAGTCATGAAAATAAAAAATGACATCACAACTTATCGTTATGAAATCAATATTTATTTTATTAAAAGTTAATAATTCAGGTTTGTTTATCAGTACCATAGCAACGGTCAACTTCCGCTGGAATTGTCGGATAGGAACCGTCCGTAGCTTTTCGCAAGAGTTCAAATTTTTGAACGCATCCGGATGACCAACGGACACGATTTTCTTCGCACCGCACTCGGTCGGAGCCGTTTCGGACCCATTCGCATGCGGTCTGCGAATCTCCATAGGAAATGAATGACTTCCGGTCGTTTCGCAGCCGCATCGGAGCTGATTTCAACTGCCAGTGTGAAGGCGGCGTAACTCCTGCGGGCTGTAAATGAAAGTGGTGCTTGTTACCCCTTTATTACCCCAAACTTAACATATTGTTCCCTTATACCTAAACGGAAGTACACTATAATTACAGAAACGTACAGCGTAATTTCAGTGTACTTACACAGTTGTTTGCGGGTCGTAAAATAAAGTGTTACCCTTGAGGTAACGCAGTGATGCTTCACTTGCTCTAACAGTTTCACTATCACACTAAACTAAACAGCAATTGTGTGTGTTGAATGTTGTTAGTTAGGTTGTGTGTTGGCTGTATGAGACTAAGCTAGATTAACTTTAGAGAATAACATACAGATCATATTCTATCTTTTCATCATGTTGAATGATGATATACGTCATATGACGCGGATATGACGTCATTGACTGGCGACTCCTCACCCCTGCTCACATGTCCTGTTTCCTTGGTTAAAAATCGCAATTTTCTCATGATTTACAAATAGTTGGAAACATCTGGGATATTGCAAGTAATCAACTAAACACAATATATAACATTGGCATAGTGTTTTTTGGATATTGTACTGCAAAAATCCTGCATATTGTACCTTTGAGACTAACACCAAAATTTAAAAGTATTAATATTAAAGGGATAGTTCACCCAAAGTGAAAACTCTGTCAGTAATGACTCTCCCTCATGATGTTCAACCCCGTAAGACTTTTGTTCATCTTCGGGACACAAATGAAGATATTTGTGATTCAATCTGAGAGCCGGATCACTCCTCCATAGGCTTCTTGAGGGACTGAAACTGACTGGCCTTCAAAAGTTATTAAAGACATTTTTGAAATAGTTGAGTGACTACAGTGGATCAACCTTAAGATTATCAAACGACGAGAATACTTTTTGTGTGCAAAACCAAAACAAAAATAACAACTTTATTCAAGTATTATTTGCTTCTCTGTTAGCTTTTAGATTTCACGTAGTGTAACACGTAGCGCTTCTGTGTTGTACGTCACACGCAGGCTCACTATTGGCCGACGTTGGTCGTGTGTGTGTGAGTGTGTGTGTGATATCCAGCAGCCATATCACCCTGTAGCCCAAGACTGGTTGCCCACTGAAGCTAAGCAGGGCTGAGCCTGGTTAGTACCTGGATGGGAGACCTTCTGAGAAAGCCAGGTTGCTGCTGGTAGAGGTGTTAGTGTGGCCAGCAGGGGGCGCTCACCCTGTGGTCTGTGTGGGTCCTAATGCCCCAGCAAAGTGATGGGGACACTATGCTGTCAAAAAGAGCACCGTCCTTCGGATGAGACGTTAAACCGAGGTCCTGACTCTCTGTGTTCATAAAAAATCCCAGGATGTCTTTCGTAAGAGTAGGGGTGTAACCCCGGCATCCTGGCCAAATTTGCCCAGTAGCCTCTGTCCATCATGGCCTCCTAATCATCCCCATATATACCAATTGGCTTCATCACTGTCTCCTCTCCACCAGTAAGCTGGTGTGTGGTGAGCGTTCTGGCGCAATATGGCTGCCGTCGCATCATCCAGGTGGAGCTGCACACTGGTGGTGGTTGAGGAGACTCCCCCCCTTCTATGTGAAGCGCTTTGAGTGTCCAGAAAAGCGCTATATAAATGTAACGAATTATTATTATTATTATTAGATGATGAATAACCTGTGACGTTCAACCAGAAGCGCTGCCCTGTTACACTACCAGAACTCACTCGAGGCCGACAGAGAAGGAGATGAAGAGTTGAATAAAGTCGTTATTTTTATTTGTTTTTGCGTGCAAAAAGTATTCTCATCGCTTGATAAACTTAAGGTTGAGCCACTGTATTTTAATGATGTCTTTAATAACATTTTGGGCCGGTCAGTTTCGTTACGTTAGAAGCCTATGGAGGAGTGATCCAGCTCTCAGATTTAATCAAGATGAAGGAAAGTCTTACGGGGTTGGAACATCATGAGGGAGATTAATTACAGACAGAATTTACATTGTGGGGTGAACTATCCCTTTAATATTATGACTCAAGTAAAACTTATTTAAACACTGTATGCAAAATACAGGATCTGCATGTATAAATTCTGATTTTGGAATTTTGTGTATTAAATATTCATCTAAATATACATTTGTTTATATTGTGTGTGTGTTTATATTCTTAAAGGGCACCTATTATGCCCCTTTTTACAAGATGTAATATTGGTCTCGGGTGTCCCCAGAATGTATTTGTGAAGTTTCAGCTCAAAATACCCCATAGTTAATTTATTATAACCATTTGAAAATGTCATTTTGGGGCCTGTTTAAAGGGATACTCCACTTTCTTTTGGAAATAGGCTCATTTTACAACTCCCCCAGAGTTAAACTGTTGAGTTTTACCGTTTTTGAATCCATTCAGCCGATCTCCGGTTCTGGTGGTACCACTTTTAGCATAGCTTAGCATACATCATTGAAGTACACAAGACCATTAGCATTTCTCCCAGAAAAATGACCAAAGTGTTTCGATTATTTTTCCTATTTAAAACTTGACTCTTCTGTAGTTAAATCGAGCACTGAGATCGACGGAAAATGTAAAGTTGTGATTTTCTAGGCTGATATGACTAGGAACTATACTCTCATTCCTGCGTAATAATCAAGAAACTTCACTGTCGTACCGTGAGTGCAGCAGGCGCGATGACTACACAAAAACACTGGGTGGATTTTTATCACTCTAGGGTGGCTTTGCTCACACACTGCCATTTATGTTCAAACACCATGTAAAAGTGAATTTTCCATAATAGGTGCCCTTTAAGTATAATCTATAAGTGATAATGTGCTTTGGGTGGCGTTACCTCTTTGGATTTTATAGGCTGTTCAATTGCCTCCAAACTAACTTGCCATTTCCTTTAGCTTCTAATAGAGCTTGAATATACTGATTTGATTTGGACATTCTAAGGTCTTTAACAACTTGGTTACTGTTACGATTTGCTTTGTTCATGTCATGTGATTCCCTGTTTGTCATGTGATCCTGCCATGTGTCTTGTCATTGGTTAATCGTCTGTTCATTGTTCACAGCCCTCATGTTTGCCATGTGTCTTTGTCAAGTATTGTTTCCTGTGATCCTCTGTTGTGTAAGTCTATGTCCACGGTTTTGTTTCATGCCACGTCATGCTTTGTTTTATGTTTTAATCTTGTTATGTGTTGTTTTTGAATAAATACTGCACTTGGGTTTTCACTACATCTTGCCTTTAGTGGATCCTTACAGAACAGAGGATCACAGATCAACAATACTTGACCAAGACACATGGCAAACATGAGGGCTTAAATACACAACTAATGGCAGGACAAGGAACACCAATCCTCTTGATTGGATTAGAAAAGGAATAAACCACCCCTTTCAATCTGATTGAAATTTCATTCACATCGATGTTATTAGGATCAATTCAAGCAGGGTTTCTCAAACTCGGTCCTGGAGGGCCACTATAGGGGATTATCACGCTGATACGTAGTACTTCCGGATTCTGTGATCTTTGTGCACTGCCACTTCCGTTGAATCATCGATCTCACTGGCAAACTGATGACGGACTACACTAAGTTTATTTATACGGCATCCCTGGCTGGTAAATTAGTCTGATTCACTAAAGTGCCGGCAGCGAACAAACGTGCTACCTTAGGTGCTTTTCCACTGCATGGTACGGTACAGTACGGTTCGCTTCGGGTCGCTTTAAATGGTACCTGGTCTGTTGAGGTTCCAAGCGTACCGTACCGGTACTAAAATGTGATGTGAAACACTGCAGATCACTGATTGGTCAGACAGAATCATCACTACCAGCTTCACTACTAGCGTCATTGGATTTGCGACACGAGACACTAGACACTTTTTTAGCAGTATTTTGTTTTGCTGCCATCAGCCTCATTTTAAACACATTTTTCCGTCTAGCAGTTAAAAACAACCACATACCGAGAATCAGGAACACCATCCCCTCGATAGTCTCCATTGTTCCTGTGTTGTGGGTTTGAAAATGTGGCGCTTTTAAGATGATGTCATGGCAGTAGAGGCGCGCGCAAATAACGATCAGTCCCACACACTTTGAAGGGGTACTACTGCAGTGGAAACGCAAAGCGAACCGAACTGTTCCGCGCCGAGTCGAAGCGTACTGAGCCGAACCGTACCATACTATGCAGTGGAAAAGCGCCACTTGTTTTATTTTAAAGTTTTAATTCAGTTCTTCCTTATACTCAATTCAGTCGGGAATCCATGAAAACTTAAGTAGGGTTGGCGTTGTTGGTTAGATTTACAAAGTGGAACAGAGCAGTGATATATAAAGCCTTCGTCTCAGCCATATTGTTGAACTGCGTCAGAAGTGGACATGCACAAAGTTGACAAATCCCGCCCATGAAACCCGGAAGCGTGATAATCCCCTATCCTGCAGAGTTTAGCTAACCCTGATCAAACACACCTGAGCAAGCTAATCAAGGTCTTTAGGATCACTAGAAACTCACAGGTAGGTGTATTTGATCAGGGTTAGAGCTAAACTCTGCTGGACAGTGGCCCTCCAGGACCGAGTTTGAGGAACGCTGAATTAAAGTGTTCACATGAAGGCTTTACAGTCCAATTGAGCCGCCAATGCATTTACTAATGAATAATTTGGTTGCATGTAAATGTTGCCTGTTGCAATGAGCCTTTTATGAAGCGCTGCCTTTTGTGTAACACTGAGAACAGTCTTGCGACCCCCTATAGAACAATCACATATTTATTCACCATTATCCTGATCTGTTTTTTCTTTTTTCTTTTTCTTAAATTCATCAGTAGAAAGCATATTTTTCTCACTTGCTCATAGAGATGAGGGGGACACCATAAAATGCCCCGAGCTGGAATGTGGAAGCAACATGGTGTACAGACCCAAGCTGATATCAGTGGTCAAAACAGTCCAGATATTCTCAAAAATTTGCTATAAATCTTCAAAATTGAATCAAAGGGCATATACCGTGGAGGTCAAAGGTCAACATAGGCATTTTCAATAGGTAATTTTCAATCTCCAGAGGATACCCAAGGTCAAAGGTGACACTGACCTGTGTGGTCAAGGTCGCTGGAAGAAACACGAGTTGGGTGGTCCGGGGGGAGGTATGGCGTGACAAGGTCAAGAGGTCGCCAATCATTTTGACATTCTGTGCTCGCTAATCACTACTACAATTTTATTCCATGGAATATCACTACAGAGACTTTTCTTAAACCTCAGACTGTTGTATGTTATCACTGCATGCCTGTTTCCAAAAGATTACGATTGGTGGATCTGAATCAATAGCTTCTGAGCATGCTCAAGATGATGAAGATGATCATCCACAATATTATAGGAAATAAAGGAAAACATTTGATGTTTAGTTTTATAAAACCACCCCCATATGGTAAATTTATCCCCACTGTCATTATTGTTTATACGTAAAAAATTACAAATATTTTTTTTTTAAAATTTTGATGATGAAGGCTAATTGAATACTAACAAAAAAAATTAACCAATGAAAAAGACTTAAATTCATAATTTTTTAATTGAAGGGCTGTAGTACTTCAGAATTCAGATAATTCCACTCAGTTGGCATATTAGCTATGATAAATAATGTTTTAAATGTACACCTAATTTACTAAATAGCAATAACAGCAACAATAGCATGAAATTATTAAATAAAAAATATAGAGTGATCTTACTTACAGTATTTTTTACTCTGAAGGTCCAAACTTCATAGTTCACTTCATTTTATTTTTGTCCACACATTTACAATCAAAAAACATTTCTTTTTTTCTTAAAAAATATTATCGAAGGTCATTAGCATTATCAAATGGCAAAAGTTATTGTCTGCTTAACCTCAAAACAGATTTGTAATTTATTGTTTATCTCTCCAAAACGGAATTGAAGTCTGTCGTGGAGCCAAACCATCTAAACAGGGTTGATAGTAACCCCTTGTCTTCCCACATTCAAGTTTGAGCTTGAGACAGACAAAACAAAACACTGTATGACATCTAGAGCATGTAACAGATTTACAATTGTTTGTGTTGTGGTTAATCAGCAAACCACATGTTATACAAGCACGAACCGCTGGACATTCAATTTTCGCAGCATCTTTTAAAATAATAGTTTCACAATCTCTCAGTAGATCCAGATCTCTGTTGCTGCAGCCGTCATTGTCACATCTATCAGATCGAGGCTGATGACCTTTCCACTCTCTCAGACACTGCCAGCAGAACTCAAAGGTTTTGCCCTTATTTGCGGAGCAAACGGTGCATTGCACACTGAGATTAGACGAGTCTGATCTCTCAATCAACCAGTCGCAACCAGGACACTGAAGAGACAGAAAGAACTTGTGAAAAATAGCACAATCATTCACTAATGCTGTCAAGAATAGAAAGAAGACCATCCTTACATTCTTGATGTCTACTATCTTTCTGGTAGCATTCTTAGCAAGTGTTTCTTCAAAGTATTGCTGTTCTTCTGGTGTAAGTTTGGCTAATTTACGGACTTCAGTGTAAGACCATTGTTCACTACACAAAGGACATCTCAGCTCGGCTTTACCCTGCAATTAAATGGGGAAATAATGAAAAGCTGTCTCGTGATATCACACGAGGGCACATCATTCAGAGACAGCAAACTGTTACTTTGTTGAACAAATTAAATCCAGTCTTGATAGAGGTCAACTGCTATATATGTCAGAGGTCGCACGCCTCTGGAGCAACTATGGATTAAGTGTCTTGCTCAGGGACACATTGGAGATTCACAGTGGATTCGAACCCGGGTCTTTCACACCAAAGGCTTGTGTCTTACCCACTGCGCCATCACCAGCCCCTGCATGTTTGTCCACCAACTGGTAAAATAATATTTCAAATGCTGACAATACATTATCAGGATGAACTTCTTTATAAACATCAATCCAACATTCATTATCTACGTCTGTACAAAATGTTTCTTGAATGAATCTCTTATATGATCTTTTATAAACTACTTTTGGTTTCCTAAGTTTCTACGTGTTTACATGCTTGCTAAACAATACATAATATAATTTTATGCATGTGCTTAAAGGCCTTAAACCGCCTGAACCCTGATTCATTTATTTTTGTTATTTATACTGTTAAAGGAGAACTCCAGTGCAAAATGAACCTTTGGTCTAATAAAACATCGGTACCTAGTCAACCGTTTTCTGAGATTTGTTTTCTATTTTGTTTTGTGTCTCTAAAATCTGTTTAGTGTATAATGCTAGTACTGGGGGCATTTACTAAGTAAAAAGAAATCGCTAGTTTATACCACTAACAAGGCTCAGAATAGCCCCACACTAACACAGTAACATAATGAGACTCCATACATGCAAAACGAAGCATTGAGAACTTTGTAAGTGTACAGACCGTTTAATAAGAAGATACTTTATGAAGACAGTTCACTTCGCGTATACAGACAGGAGCCATCTTAGGAAATAGTCTCGATAAGTCAAACCACGAACGACGTGCTGAGTGAGCTGAACTGTATGAACGGCATTCGGGGATCGACTTATAGAGACTATTTTCCAAGATGGCTCCTGTCTGTATACGCGAAGTGAACTGTCTTCATAAAGTATCTTCTTATTAAACGGTCTGTACACTTACAAAGTTCTCAATGCTTCGTTTTGCATGTATGGACCCTCATTGTGTTACTGTGTTAGTGTGCAGCTATTCTGAGCCTTGTTAGTGGTATAAACTAGCGATTTCTTTTTACTTAGTCAATGCCCCCAGTACTAGCATTATACGCTAAACAGTTTTTAGAGATAAAACTCTTCACATTCGATTATCATGAAAACAAATCTCAGAGAACGGTTGACTATGTACCGATGTTTTATTAGACCAAAAGTTTATATTGCACCGGAGTTCTCCTTTAACAGTCACACACATCCTTAATCAGAAGTTCTGGAAGCTCATAATTCACAGATAGTACAAGGTCTGAAGAGACTCATGTGGATGCATACAGGAGAGAAGCCAGTGATTTGAGTTTGTGGCAAAACCTTTTACAGTGCTTGTATATTGTTGTCTTTCAGTGCATTTGATAATTCATACTCATAAAGTATAATTAAAATGGCATTCATTACAAGATTAGTTAAAACATGCACATGCAGACTTTATTTCCAGTCACAAATTTTTGTCATTGAGGATTTCTATTAAATATTGTGGAAAAATCTTGTCTCGTTCTCATGAACCTAATCTTGTGTCTCGTCACACCCCTAACCCATGCGTGTTGAAAGAAGTTTATAGGTAAACTTTAGTTCTCACAATACACTGGAGAATAGACCATATTTGAAAATAGAATATGATATCTGAAAATAATTTAAAAACTACACTTACATCCATCAGCAGTATTCTGCAGTATTCAGTCAGTGTATATGGACCAGTGACGTGACCACAGGATAATTCAGCTCTTAAAACATCTGGATCATCATCATATGGATCTGATGGAAATTACATAGGCTATATTATTGCAGAGAGATCTTTTCAAATTACATTCAAACTACAATTGCTTTTCTAGTCTTTACTTTCATTCAAGGCCAGAGCACTATTTATTCACTTATTTCAACTAGTGAAGCATGCGACCACCCAACTTCCCAGAATGTACTGTGCAAGCAGGATCTTCTTTCTTTCTTTCTTTCTTTCTTTCTTTCTTTCTTTCTTTCTTTCTTTCACAGATTTCATTGTTCAATACATATACAGTGAAAGGGTGGACATATCAATCATTTTTACCCGCAGTCTCAGTTGGATAGGCTATAAAAGGGTGCCTAGATAAAACAATCAGCTTTAGATTGTCTGAAGTATGCAACAGCATCTCGAATGACTTACGTGATGCAGAGGGAATCCTGGAATCCAGTCATGAAAATGGAATTATTCACCTAACGCAGATGTCACGTAAAAAACGCAGAAATAATGGATGGATGCATGGAAAGTTTTTGTATTTGTAGTACAAGTATTTGTTTCCTTGATTCAAATTACACCATTGTAAAAACACAATGAGTGAGCAAACATTTAGGTGACAAATGTAATAAAATAAAATAAAAATCTCACAAAAATGGCCATTGGGCATTTACAGTAGCTAATTGAAAAAGGATGGAAAGTGCCCTTGTTCCATTTATTTTTTTTATTGCAAATATTCTTGAGATCTAGGTGTAGTTTTTGCTCCCTTTAATTTTAGATTTCTCGAGGATTTTAGATTTCTCGAGGGATTATAGGGGTGAAGGAGGTTACTGGGTGAATTGTAGCCAAGCAACCGAATTTTTATGTCAATTCTAAAAATGAACGAGTAGCAGGACTATTTTCCACATTCCTTTAGGAATTTTGCTTCTGCATTTTAAACCAACATAAAACAAAATAACAGAATCGAAAGAATAACACAAGTTAACTGGAACATTTAAACAGCTCAAAACAGAAACAGAAAGAAACTAAAAGGAAAAAAGAAAGAAAAAAGGAGAGCCAAATCAATTCAAGGCTATTTCCATAACATTTGCATTTTGCATTTGCATATATATATATATATATATATATATATGCTGGTATATATATATATATATCATGGTATATATCATGTTGGTAATATATATATATATATATATATATATATATATATATATATATATTACCAACATGAAACAATCTTTGCAGAATCTACCAAGATATATAACGAAGATCTCTTATATGACCTAAAAGCCTTTCGTCAAGTAGGCCTACTAACTGCAAATGATTGTCGACTATTGCTACATCAGTCGTAAAAGCGAATTTAGGCAACCGAAACGCGTATTTCGGGTCATGCTAAAAAGAGAATAAAAATGTTAGCATGTAACATCATTTATGGAAATATAATAGATTAACATTATTTTGTCTTATGGTGAAATGTGTTAGCGGGTAAGAGATATTGAAAAGGTAGAAATTCAGCATATTGAACAAACTCACCGATATCGTTGCTTTTTCTCACGAGATTAATTCCGAGGTTACTGTCAGATATCTCATATCGTTTCTCATCAAATGCCATTTCGAATTATAGTGTTTTTTATTCATACGTCTGTGTGACTGTGACTCACAGAAAAAAAAAATAGGCTACTTTCGTTTTACTCGAAATCACATGACTGATCTGGACGACTGCGCACCTGTCTATGCTTTTACTGTCTATGCTGCGCACTTGGGTGCGCACTTCCCTGTGTTAAAAAAAAAAAAAAAAAAAAAAAAGAGGAAAAATTGTGCCATGCAATATTCAATGAAGGAACACGGGGTTCGACCTATGAAGCCAGATCAGTCTCATTAATAATTCACGCAAAAAAAAAAAAAAAAAAAAAAAACATTCTCACGTACATGCATAATTTCACATGCATGAAAACAAATTCAAGTGTGTGAAAAATAGGCCTATATTCACAAAAAGCAATTAACATGAGCAAAATAAAACTGCATATTCATAAAATACATTTAAAAAATATAAAACACAATTCGTAGACACAGCTACAACTGTGCACAAAAACCTAATGTTTAAATTTAGTTTATCCTCGAATGTACAAATCGTCATTTGCATGGACCACCTTTGATGTGTGTGTGTCACACACACACACACACCTACACACACACACACACACACACACACACACACACACACACACACACACACACACACACACACACACACACACACACACACACACACACACACACACACACACACACACACACAGCTTCTGGCCTGCTTTAGCATACACGAATCTGATGAATCAAAGAGCTCATAGAAAAGCTGGATGGGATTGATATTCATCATGACAATAATAATCTTACCTTGACTGCCATCAGCGACGAGTTTCTGGTTCGTCCAGCACAACAAAAACCTACAAAAAACAACGTATATAATAAAAAAAAATGTTTATTGACAAACATGTTGAAGAATGAAGATTAACAGACAGGTTGTCAATTCACATGTGAACATTGAGAATTATAGTAAATGACTGCACCTTGTGATATAAAATGAAATAAAATGCATTTATCATAGATTGTAAAAAGGTATTTATATAAATAAAGTGGAGGAAGGTCATGTGATCATCTGTGTTTTCTTGAGGAACAGCTCCATCTGCTGGTCATTCAGGAGTTCATCATGACAGTCATATGATTTCAGCTCAGTATCAAGAATGCATTGCGAAACGCACAACTCAGTGCACAACTCACAACTCGTTTCATTCGACAGGGTCCCTACGCAGTGTTCACTGCTCCATACTCCTTCACTGACTTCCTGTGAAGTGATAACCTGCATTTTGGTGTTTTGATGGCCAAAAAAATTGATGACAGTTGCTTTAAAAGCATGAAGTAGTCTATTTGATTAGATTTTTAAACATCAGTTCCAGTTTCAGCTACTTTTTCTTTCCTAAATTAATCAATGTTTTTGGACTAATCTGTTAATTTAATTAATGTTTAAATGCTCACTCAAAAAGACAGTCACTTGTCGCCGCCCTCTGGCTTAATTATGCAAGTTACGCAAATACAGACAAGCAGATACAAAAAGTGAAAAGTCGAACACATTTGAAAACTAATATATATACTAATATATTTATTACAATAATAATGGCAATATATTTAATAGGGTGCTTGTGTTGTTAAATTGATCTTATCATTTCCACTGTCTTTGATCAAACTGATTATTTCTGTCGTTCATTTAAAACGTCTATCGAAAACAGCCGTGTATTTTACTTGCATCTTATCTCGCAGTGAATGATCGTTAACTGAAGTGAAGCGTCGCGTTGGGATTCGCGCTCGGCTCGCGCTTCTGTGAACATAAATCCTGCATTCTTTGATTTCAAACTTGACGAGCAGGTGTTTGAGTGCTGAAGCAGATCAGATGAGAAGGTCAGTTATCGTCGCGATGGGAGAATCAAATTAGAGTTACACTAAGAAGACATAGGCTACCTTTTTAAACTTGCATTCACTTGTTGATGTGTTTGTTTTTTGTGATGTGATGTGTTTGCCTTTAACAATTGTCCATTGTATGTACAGTGCTTTGAGAAGCTGCTTTTAAAGGCGTTTTATAAAATATAGGCCTAGGTTATTATTATTATTATTATTATAAAAAGGTAATTGCAAAATTGTTTGATAAATTAGTTTTTTGCCATTTTTTTTTGCAAAAAAACAAACTCATTATGAAATATAAACTAAGAATTGTGATATAAAAAGTCCTAAATAACTTAGATTGTTGATCATTAGATTTGTTAGATTGCATGTTTCAAAGTAAAAACTGTAAAATGTAAACAGAATTCTGAGGGGAAAAAAACACATTTGAATTTTGAGAAAATGTCCCAATTCCACTTATTTCTTCCGTGGCTGAAAGAAGCCTTGACAAATATGGCAGATTTGCACATTTCACAAATCTGAGGTAGAATATTCAAAACATTTATAATGATAAAATCATTTTCAATCAAAGTGTTTTTTCCTCGACTCTAAAAATTGCAAGAAAATTAATAGGCTAAATCTTCTTAGGACAAAAATAATATTCAACAGTTTCAGGATTTGTTTTAAAAAAACATTAAAAAAAGACTTTTAATTTGAATGTTTGAGCGGAGGGAATAAAGGTCTGTTTGATGTGGTCCAGCACTGTTTCATTTTTGATTTGTTATTTTATCAAATTATGTTGATAATTATCATTATGTATTTTTAAAGGTGCAGTGTGTAATGTTTAGCGGCATCTAGTGGTGAGGTTGTGAATTGCACCCTACAGAAGTTACATTGGCCGTCAGGGAGTGATGTCGTCTGAGACAGCCTTACAAAGATAAATTAAGAAATTTGGTTTACTAAATTATTCAGTAAATGATTTATTATTGCGATTATTATTGTTAATTGTTCATTATTGTGACTTTAGCAGCTTCTTTACACAAGGAACAACATAGTGACTAAACACATTTGTCCGTTCAGGACCACCGTAGAAACATGTGGATGTAAGCAGACCCGCTGTGTGTGGAGAGAGAAACGCCTCATACTAAGGTAATTAAAACATAAAGCTTCATTATCTAAGCTCTTTATACACCACTGTAAACCTAGTTATGAATATGGATATTGCATTTCTGTCAACAGATCCTCCTAAATATTGCACAATGCACCTTTAAATGAGTGTGAGCTTCCACTGATGAGGTTCACAGGCTGATGAGGAGTCGTGAGTCGTCGTGAGGATGACCGTGGTGTGGCTACTGGACTGTGTGTGCCACAGACCGGGGTGTGTGTCTCTGCTGGTCCTTGCGGACGAACCCCTTCTATAGACCGCAGCTCAGGAGGTTCTGGTTCTGCCGGGTCAGACCGCACGCAAACACCTGTGCCTTCAGCACGTCGCCAAAGCAGGAGTCGGCGGATCTCAGGCGTCAATCGTCCCGTCTGCGCGCTGCTCTGGACTCGCTTCTGAAAGCAGTGCGCGGGACGCGAGCGCAGATTCTGTTCCGACTCAAAGCAGTGAAAGTGAACTCAATACTGCCTCTTTTATCACAGGCCCCGCCCTCTGCACCCCAGTCTCTGCCCTACACACACAATGCCCCGCCCACTGCATCTGAAGCTCCACCCCCTGCACTGCACTTGCTGCTACGCCAACTAAGATTCAAGAACAGAAAGAGCACAGCGTGACCAGAACAGCCCCGCCCACTGCACCTCAGGCTCCACCCTCCATAAACAAGGCCCCACCCACTGTCACTCAGGATCTGCCCTCCACACACAAGGCCACACTCACTGCACCTCAGGCTCCACCCACCGAACTTGCTCCTAAATTAATTAAGATCCAAGAACAGGAGCATGAAGTGACTGCAACATTCATTATTTATACAACATTCATTCATTAATAACAACACAGGCCGACTGTGTTGTTATTGCCGGAGTCTCTGGCCATGTCCACACGGACACGGGTATTTTTATAACCGTGACTTTTTTTACGCGGTTCGGCCGTTCGTCCACACGGAAACGCAGTATCAGGACACTGAAACCGAACATTTTTGAAAACCCCTGCCAGGGTGAGTATTTTCTGAAACGCCGGTTGCAGTGTTGTCGTGTAGACAGCGAAACCGGAGTTTTTGCACCGCTGACGGCTTCTGATTGGCTAACGTGGCTTTACGGTAGGTTTATATCGCCGCCTGCTGGTGTTGAATGCTCTTGACAGCGCTTGATGCCTTGTTTTTGCGTTTTCATGTGGATGAAGGTTTTTTTTTTAAATGCAGGAGGGAAAAACTCCGGTTATAAAAATACCCGTGTCCGTGTGGACAGGGCCTCTGAAGCTCGTGTGAAGGCTCCTCCCTCTTCTGAACGGAGGCGGAGCTAAAGCTCATCTGCATTTAAAGGGACACACACAAACGTGTAAATTTGACAAGCTATAATGCATTATCTGGTGGTGTTATGACCTCTGGCCCCTCCTGTCACCGCTCTGATGTCTTCAGAGATTGACCTCTGACCCCTGGTGTGATGTGTTCTGCAGATCGTGGTGCGGGTGAGTGTGGATAACCGGACCCGGGCTCTGGTTCAGGCCCTCCAGCGGGTGTCGGACATGCGTCTCTGTGTCCGGCGGGTGGAGGAGCTCAGTCTGCATCTGCTGGAGTTCCCGGAGACGCGGGTCGCGGCCGTCAAGGTCAGTCCGGTCTCGCTCAGTGCAGCGGGTACCAATAAAGCGTAAATTATGACGTACGAAGTCAAAATATTGACACTATTTTGAAATTAAAAATTTGAAATAGACACTATTGACAATGACACATCATAATTTTGAAGCAAATAACATAATTATGACACAATTAAAGTCAAAATTAAAGTTCTAAAATTGGAGAAAATTTAGAAAATCAAAAATTCGAAAAAGTTCTAAAAATGGTTTTCCAGCTAAATTCAGCATATTGACACAAACTGATAACTGCAAATCCACCTTTCGCTGACTCGAGTCCAGTTGTTTCGATCCATTTGCTCCTCTTTCTATCGCAGTCTGTAAAAATATACCTCCGATTTTTGTCAAATCTAGTTGTACAGTCAATCGCAAAGCTCTTTCCCACTTTATGTGTGTTGTGTTTGTTTTTCGCTGAAAACATATACAGCCGCTCAGTGTTTTT